GCGATCCTAGAGCAGACCAAGCCGGCACTCTCCTTACCAAGAAAGTTATGTCTCGCTGGAAGAGACCAGGGCCCCAAAAACTCGTGGCCGGAAAGTCCCCTCTCTTTACACGAGAGTAGACCCACTGAATCCATGGGGGTTTGGTGAGTCGGCTCCCTCCTTCCTAGGTTTCGCTGGTTCAAAGCGGGACTCCTATTAACTCCGTGGTGNAAAACTCGTGGCCGGAAAGTCCCCTCTCTTTACACGAGAGTAGACCCACTGGATCCATTGGGGGTTGGGCGAGTCGGCTCCCTCCTTCCTAGGTTTCGCTGGTTCAAAGGGGGGCTCCTCTTAACTCCCTGGTCCCCAACCTTGGACCTCTAGATGTTCTCGGACTGCAAGTCCCAGAAGGCTTCGCCACCACCTCTGCTGGCCAGGATTTCTGGGAGTTGTAGTCCAAGAACATCTGGAGGCCCCCCAAGGTTTGGGGAAGCGCTGCTCTAACTGTTGCTTTCTAGGCTGAAGTCATTCCCAGTTTGAGTAGACCCATGGGAATCTATGGGACTTACGGAGGAGGCGACCCCCTAAATCCCCATGGATTCGGTGGGTCGGGCTCAAACGCTGTTCACTGTGCTAAGCCAGGGGTGGGCAATTAATTTCTATAGGGGGGGGCACATGAAAAATATGAACTGTTCGGGGTGGTGGTGAACCAACTTTACCTAAAAATAAAATAGGGATGTTATGATTGTTTTTATTTCAAACGTGTTAAATCTTCACAAATACTAAAGAGTTTTTTTTGCGGTATGTTAAAAAGAAGCAACTGATCAACTTTAGACAAAAAGCTATAAATGGTTTTTGATGTTTGAACGAATGGTTTGAATACTTTATTGCGGTCAAAGACCAGTAAAGTTTTGATGTCCAAAACGGCCCAGGTCTGTGCTAAGCCATAGAAATTGGGGAAAGTTGAAAGAAGCCAGGAAAGAGGAGGACCGCCAGGGAGATGGACGGACTCTGTCAAGGAAGCCACTGGCTTTTAAGTTTGCAAGAGCATAGCAGGGTGCTTGAAGAGGGGCTGTTTTGCAGGTCACCAAAGCACACAACAGCAAGACAAGAGTTGTGGGTCGAAGGTAGAGGCTGGCAGCTTGTGGAACCGCAGATGGTCCAGGACTCCCATCTCCCTTTGGGACGTCCAGCGGCCGACATTGGGGGGGGGGTCTGGGGCAATAGGGAGGTGGCCATCAGAAACCTCTCAAGGGCATCGACTTTGGAGAGCCAAGAAGGGGTCAGATTTGGGGTGGGAAGTTTCTTTCGGGGATGAAGGGAGGGGCTTTAAATAAAGGAGCGACAAATTTTAAGGAGAGAGCAATCGTTTGGATCAAATCAAAGACCCATCTAGGCTGATCATCAGTGGATTAGCGGTGTCGCTCCGTAACAGCAAAAGTAACCAAGTGTCCGGCCATACGCTTATTTCCTTCTTTGGTGGGTTGCAACCCCCTTCAGCCGATGCATGGCGTCTTGTCTAGAATTTTAGGTATGTTGGGTTGGGTCTAAGTTGTGCATCTAGACAGCGTTAACGTTTTTGAGTTCTGGTCCCAGGATGAATTGGAATGAATGACCAACCAAAATCTGCCTGGTGTCTTTCAAGAAGCTTCTCAAAACTTTTTTTTTTTAAATTCCGGCCGGCTTTTCAAAATCGGCCCAACGAAGAGCCGCTCAGATTGTCGCCAATTTTTTTTTTTTTTTTTGTAATTCTGGCCGGCTTTTCAAAATTGGCCCAGCAAGAACTGCGGAGATTGTCGGCCTTTCGTTTTAATCTGAATGTTTCTCAGTTTAGTTCAATTGCAATCGAATTTAATTGCACTTGGATTATGGTATGTTGTTATCATAGCGAACCACCCAAAGTGACCGTCGGTCGGATGGGCGGTATAAAAAATTTAATCACTCGATCCCCCAGCCAGCAGGAACACTTGCGCTCGTCCCAAAAAGGAAATATCAGATATAATTCTGTGGTTCCTTAAAGGCAAACTGTTCTATTTTAATGTGAGAAGTCAGTAAAATACAGAGTTCACAAAGTATTCATGCCAGCTTTGAGAGTCGGTGATGTATGGGTCCATCTCTCAGTTGCAGTAATTTATGGCCTGTGTTTGGTGTTCAGTTCTGTCGTAGCCTGGTTTTGCAAACATTCCCGCTAGAGACAGAAAACAAGCTAAGAAATGCTCTAAATAGGGATGGTTTGTTGGATATGACTGTCCATGCTGTTTCTTGAAAGTGTGTGAAATAATTCAGCCAAATAGCTGCTACTGGTTAACAAATCTGTAAATTTCCATCCCATGTCACTGACACTCCTTCCCCAGCCGCGCTGGACTATTGATCCCATTCTCCCTGCCCCTTAGCACTGGATTAGAGAAAGCCACTGTCTGGACTGAGGACAGGGTACAGGATAGGGTGGAGCCACCCTTAGAGAAAAACCGGTGAGATGCGCTAAACGGCTCCCCTTCTTCTGGTTAATAAAAAATAATCCGTTCTGGGTCTGTTTCTCTCTTGCATAGTGGAAGAACTTTGCATGTTGCACCGGCTGAAGGCGGTGACGTTAGCCGAAGAACTGGTCGCCTTTTTTGCCACAAAGGGAACCATTCATCTGACCGCTGACTCCCTCTACGTCTTTGAACATGAGGTAAGGAGATTAGCAGTTGGGTTTGGACGTGGAAAAAAGGAAATTATGGGCTAGAGAGAAAGCATTGGCTAATGGCAGGGATGTAAGAGGCTGCTCTAAGGTTGCCAGTCCGTCATGTTTTGTGCTGTCTGTATTAGGAATTGGGAGTCTGCAGGGGGGCCCCCAAGAATTGGTTGGATCCCAATTCCCATGTGCCCCTATGAGGATGGTCAGTGGTTGGGGATGATGGGAGTTGTACTCAACCGTGTCCCAAGCTCCAGTTACAGGTATCTGAATCTCTAGGCAGCTGGGAGTGTTCAAAAAACTTCACAGGTTTAGCTTCCAAGTAAAAACTTTAATAAAACAATAAAAGACCAAACTTTTTGACAAGGAAAAAAAAATGGCTTGTCCTTTTCAGGATTGTAAGTGACCTTAAAGCACTAAGGAGCTTCCGAGTCAAGTCTACGGGGTTAAAATCCTTGCCTTACAAAATGAGAGGGGGCATTGCACAGATTGTCCCTCAGTTAAGCAGAAAGTGAACTTAATCATGATAAGTATCCGTGTTCCTATTTCCCATTGAGTCAGCATTTTAGATGTACGGGAAGGCCTGTGCTCCTGATTTAAAAGCAAGAAAGCGGAAACATACAGTAGGATCCCCTTATCTATGGGATCAAAATACTGAGTCACTTATCCACGGTCTGAAATTAGGAATAATAAAAGAAAAATCCTATAAATATATATTTCTATCGATGTTACCAGAACGGGGCACTAGAGGGAGCCAAAGACCAATCTATGTATAGTGTTCAGTAGAGAAATGTATTTCAGCGTCATTACCAGAATTGGCCAGTAGAGGGAAGCAGAGACCATGCAATGTATAGCATTTTTTGTTGTTATACTGTAATAGCGCTTGCCATAAATATTATTTTTCAGCATCCGTGGGAGGGACTTGAATCTGATCCCCCATGGATATTGGGGGTCCTGCTTGTAGTTTCACCTTCCCTCCCTCTTTCCTTGGTATAGCCATCACAGCTGAGAGATGACTGTCTGTTCTGAAGAGAATTCCCATTCTCAAAACAAAAAACCGCACAGCGGCTGAGTTTTACTTTGATAATACCGAAGTGTCTTTCGCGATGAGAGGGGTTGACCTTCCAGGCGTTTGACTGTGTGGGATTTCTCCCCAGGCGCTTATGAAGCGAACTGCGAAACCTTCAAGAAGGAAGGAAACCCGTACTTCTGGAATCCACCAGATCACTGAGCAGTATCCTTTATAATGTTCAGTAGGGTCGGAGCCGAGGGTGGGTGCCCAATTTTATCAGGGATTTGGGGAAAAAAAAGACTTTGGAACAAGCTGGGTCGTGGAACACAATCTTCTCCGATTTCTTCTCCATGGTTTAGCCCTAGAGGCATGCCTCCTCTGTGGTTATGTTGCCTAGGGCAGATGGGAATTGTAGTCGCTGGAGGGTCATGGGTTTACATAGGCATGAGTGGATGCTTTTAACTCTTAACTTTCCTCAGTTCCGATGCTGAGGAGGAGGACCAGCATCTTCTGGATACTTACACATCACCGTCAAAAGTAAGTACGCGCCGGGCTCTGTTTTTCTGCCCGAGAGAAGCTCCTTTTTAGAAGAGCGTAGATGAGGAATGTCTTTTTCGCCGATACAAGGTTGGTTCTCTTTAGGATGGTCTGCCAGGAGCAGAGTCAACCTGCTTCTCGGTACCATTTCTTGGGGAACTTCAGTGGGAAGGTGTTTGTGCCTCACATTCTACACCGAAGTAACCTAGTCTCATCTTGTTGGCCCCTGTGGAAACAGACTCCCACCTGAGGTGAGCCTTTGGCTTGGCCTGGTGAGACTATTTTGAGTACATTTGGACCTCTGTAGATGTGGGGTCAGGATCCACCCATTCACTGACCCATAGTCTGAAAATATTAAGAATAATAATAAAAAAAATCCAGAAATATATATTTCTAATGATGACCAGAACTGGCCACTGGAGGGAACCAGAGACAACGCATAGCATTCGCTAGAGAAATACATTTCCACAGTGTCATTACCAGAATAGACCACTAGAGGGAGCCAGAGATAATGCTATGTATTTTCTTTGCTATTACAATGGTGCCTCGCTTAACGGGCGCCCTGTTTAACGACGAATCTGCATAGCGATGAGGATTTTGTGATCGCAAAAGCGATCACATTGCAATGTTTTAAATAGGAAAAAATCGCTTTGCGATGATCGGTAACCTGTTTCGCTTACCGATTATCGCATAGCGGTGATTTTCCAATAGCTGATTGGCTCGGTTTGCGAACACCTCGGTTTACGTAATTTTCCGTTTGTGAACCGAGATCCATAAGAAATAAAGCCCTGGGTTACGTTGTTTTCTTTCTTTCTTTTTTGCACTACGACAGGGTTTTCCCAGGACGCATGGCGCCTATAGCGCCTCCCCTTGCGTAGCAGATCCGTTTCGCAAACCGAGGGGACAGTCATCACTCAGTGGCAGAGCACAGTCTTTGCATGTTCACAGTCCCATACAGGGCTGAAAAAAGAGAAGACCCAACATGTCCTGCTAACTGAGAAGTTAAGAGGAGATGCTGTGCGATCGTAAGGATCTTCTCTCGTTCTTGCCGCCCCTCGCCGAATCCCACTCTGCCTTGTCTTGCAGGCTTCTCAGAAAAGGGAGATCACAACGCCGGAGAACCCGCGGTCCAAACGGACTCTTTCTGGCCGCAGCCCCCGCCTGGCCTTCTCTCCCAACAGTTTCTCGCCCAGGTAGGCCCTAACCAAGGCGCTGAACAAATTGCTTACCTTTGAACCAAAGCAAAGCACTTAAAGCACTCTCGGGGCGGTTTACCGTTCAATTGTGCGCGCTACGCGTTGCCCCCCACCTCCCCCAGTGAGGTGGTGTTCTCGGTTTAGCCCGAAAAAGCAATTTATCCATGCTCTCGTTCTTCCAGATGCCCGGTGTGGGGTCATGGACAGAGACATAGGCTGTGTCTTAGTTTGGAGACATGGGATCAAATCCCCGCTCAGCCATAGAAACTCCTTCCTGGCGTAGAGCTGGCGAGATGGGTCTTTAAACCATCTCACTGATCTTGAAAGTCCCGTTAAGGCCACTCTAAGACAGAGGTGGGCACGAAACAAACCCCAAACAAAAAATTCCACTAACAAACTGGGCTGGTTCGTTTCGCGACCCGGTTCAGCGGCCTTTTTCTCTGGGGAAACTTTTTCCCCTTTGGCGTTTAGTGTGCATTGGCAAAAGGGGATGCCCGCAGGCCCCCTTCCTGCTGCTCCCTCTGCCTGCTCCGGCCGCCCCAGCAGGTGGCATCCAATGGCGCCCGCAGGAGTAGGTAATACCTCCCGGCTTGAACTGAAAAAACAAACCGCAAATGGGTTAGTTGTTCTAGAGGGGGTTGTGGTGGCTCATGTTTAGTGACAAACCCTCATGAACGACCCGTTTTTCTGGTTCACACCCATCTTGACAGCACAGAACAACAGCCGCTCATGTTTAGTGACAAACCCTCATGAACTACCCGTTTTTCTGGTTCACACGCATCTTGACAGCACAGAACAGCAACTCATTCTTTCAACTACTTTGATCTGCCACCAGAAGAGGAAAGGAAATGGCAGGGAAAAGCTTTCTCATCAGAGCAACCCCTGAATTCTAACAGACAGGAAACCATGGTTAGTAGAAACCATGGTTTCTACTAACCATGGTTTCTACTAACCATGGTTTCTACTAACCATGGTTTCTACTAACCATGGTTAGTAGACACCATTGCTTCAAATTTTTCTTTCAGATCTGGCTTCAGGTTGGTCTTGTCACCTGATAGACTGAAGGCATAGGGCCGACACTGTTGCTGGTAATGTCACGCCGATTGCGCAGACCTCTATTTTCACCCTGTAATTTTATTTCCCCAGCTATATTTTATTAAATGTATGTTGTGAGCCGTTTTGGGTTTGCAGGAAAAAGCGAAAGATACAAATAAATAAAGGATTCCGCCAACTAACCCAGTCAGAGCTTTAACTAGGATTGGGCAAAATTTAAGACTTGAGATGGGCGCGAACCGCCGGTTCGTGCCAGTTCGTCCTTTGGACAAGCAGGTGTCGAGCGCTTCTCAGCCCTGCCTCCTCTGGTGGGCACCCACTCAGAGGCAGCGCCTGGGGGAGGCAGAGCAGAGAAGCTGGGGCACCGCCTCGAGTGGGCGCCTGCAGGGTTAGGCTTGGCTGGGAACCGCAGAACGCCTGTTTGTCCGAAGGACGAACCGGCACGAACCCCCGAACTGCCCATCTCTAGTTAAGACTGAGTGATATTTGAAAATGGGGTGTCTGTGTGTGGAATCAACGTCACATTTTTAATAAACTATTTTTCCGTCCAAATGAAGCGCGACCCCTTCACAGAAATACAGCTCCCGGAGCAATCGTGGGGAGGTGGTGGCCTCTTTCGGCTCTGTCCACGGCGCCTCCTGGCATGGAAGCGGGGGTGCGACCGCCACGGTGACACAGTTTACGGCGGACACAGATTCACTCACAAAGCCATACAAATTCATGTTCCAGGATCTGATGGACTACCGGGAAGGTATTTTAAAATAAATAAGTTTAAAAGACCTGGGTGGGAATAGGGTAGGTAACCCAGGCCCCCCAATATCCACGGGATCAGTATCCGCTTATCCATGGCACTGAAAATGTTAAAAGAAAAAAAATCCTAGGAATACCATGTTTCCCCAAAAACAAGACAGGGTTTTATATTAATTTTTTCTCAAAAAATGAGCACCTTAGGGCTTATTTTCAGGGGATGTCTTATTTTTTTCATGTATCTTCTGGTGGCTGCACAAGGGTGGAGGTGGGGGTTTCACTTAAATGGGGCTTATTTTGGGGGGTAGGGCTTATTTTCCTGAAAAATCATCCTAGGGCTTATTTTCAGGTTAGGTCTTATTTCCGGGGGAAACGGTATCGAGTTCTAAAGATGACGTTTTCAGAGCTGGCCCTTAGAGAGAGAGCCAGAGACCACGTTGTGTGTATTATTCACTATAATCTGCTTTTTCAGATCAATAGGGGGACTTGAAAGCGATCCCCCGTGGATATTGGGGGGGGTGTCTTGCTGTATATGGAAGATTCTCTAGAGCAACCCTTCTTAACCCCTTTTTGGCCACAGATCTTTGGGTAACTCTTGTCAGTGTCCAGGGCCCCCTGTCAAACGAGGATGCAATACGAACAGGATTACCTATCAGAAAATCCTCACATTTCCCAGTCTGTGGGCCCCTCCAAATGGCCCTGGCACATTTGAAGAGGCCCACAAGACTGGAAACGATTCTTCAGATGCCACCTTAATATGACAGAGACCTTTGGGTAGAGTGGGCGGCAAATAAGTTAAATAAATAAAATAAGATTCATTATGTGGCTTATACAGTCCTGATTGGGCTTATATTTATTTCGTCTTGTATTCATGGCTGTAGAAATGCTGGAATTTCTGCAACTTTAAAGCAAGCTGCTGCGGTTGCTACTATTTAATGACTTTTGGTGGTGTTCTATTGCTTTTTATTTCCTTACACTAATCTTGATTTCCGTCTCATTTTTTTAAAAAAAAAAATGTCAGTGATCTCCTGTAAGATTGAAGAACTTGGTGAAGCACTAAAGGAGCACTACAAAATAGAAGAATTTTGCTCTCTGGTCATCCCTACCCAGGTAATCTATATGCCTAAGGTTTTCTGAGTTCTGCTGCTTTTACATTTTATGAGTGCAGTAGGACCCCCTTATCCACGGGATCAGTATCCACTGATTCACTTATCCACTTTATGGAAATATTAAAAGAAAAACCCTAGAAATATATATTTCTAATGATGAGGTTCCCAGAACTGGCCATCAGAGGGAGCCAGAAACCATGGTTATCTATGTATAGCTTTTGCTATTACAGTGTTTGTGATCATCCACGTTTTTCAGAATCCGCAGGTGGGGTTGGAACTATCTAGAAATGGGGGGGGAGCCCTCCCTAATAAGTAGAGAACTGCGGCAAGCTATATTTATTTAATGCAGTTTATCTATTTATTTGAACTAGAGAGAGTATAGATGCAGAGATGGAAAAATTAGTTTCTTGAATTACAGTTCTCAAAATCCCACACCGATGAGTAATGCTGAAAAACGCAATATAGTGAATAATATTATAATAGCAAACACTATGCATAGCGTGATCTCTGTCTCCCTCTAGTGCCCGTCCTGGTAACTTCATAGTTTTTATAGTTTTAGACTATATAAGTGAATCAGTGGATACCGGTCCCGCGGATAAGGGGGTCCAAGGGTTCTCCTTGCAGGAAAGGGCAGCCGTTGATTTTGTGTATCAGATTCCATGTAAAGTGTCTTAAAAATTGACCTATGCTTTTTTTTAATATGGAAGGCCCGTGTGACTGTTCTGGGCCAGATCGGATGCGATTCCAACGGGAAGCTAAACGCCAAGTCTGTGGTCCTGGAAGGGGATCAAGAGCACTCCTCGGGAGGGCTGGTGCCTGTGGACGTCTCGGAGCTCCCAGAATACTCCTTCTTCCCTGGACAGGTGAGGCGTCTTGCAGGTAGGGCAACGTCGAGGCGTCTCTGCCTTTCAGAAGACTTGAGTTATAGACACAGCAAGAGTGGACAAAATTACGTGACTTTTTGATGACAGAGAAAAAGGAATGTATTTTTGCCACTTTTCTGTCTCGGTCAAGCCTCACTCACCGTCCTGTGTCCAGTTCTGGGCATCACATTTTAAGAAGGGTGTTGAGAAGTTCAATATATATACCGTATTTTTCCGTGTATAAGGCTATACTTTTGTCTAAAATCTTTAGACTAAAAATTGAAGGTCGCCTTATACACGGAAGTAAGCTGAGGAGAGAACAAAAACAATTGGAGGGGAAAGCAGGGATCAAAGCGATCCTGCAGCGCTTTTATCCCTTTCCCCCTACACTCGCTAAGCCCCACTTAGATTTCTTAATTTGGGATTTAAAAAGTGGGGGTGGCATGTTATACATGGGGGCGTCTTATACACGGAAAAATACGGTATATTTTTCTAGGTTTTTTTTCCTTTTAAGGTTTTGAATATTTTCAGACCGTGGATAAGCAAATCAGTGGATACCGATCTCATGGATGAGGGGTTTCTACCATACTGCAGTAGA